GTGGGGTGTGGGTGTGAGTGGAAGAGAAGATCAACACTCGCAACCACACCCACACCTAACCCACACTCACACCCACACCCTTGTCATGACCATCCCATTTTTGATATTAATAATGTGAGTGTAAGTTTATTAAACACGACCTACCACAGTGACATTCAACTAATGTTCTAATAAACTTTTTATCATTTATACATATAGCTATGGTGACATGTTGATATTTTTGATCATTTCTTTCAAATAAACTGCACAATACTCATCAAAAATGTTAAAATGAATCAGCTGGATTTTTTTGTACAAATTAATTAATTTTATTTTTCATATATTCATGAAAACAATTTATTGATATTAAATAGATATTCATAACAGTTAGGAATTAGCACATTTCAACCGATCATTATTATCTTGAATTCGGTTCAGATCTTTGCTGAATACATTCTTATATTGTTGGTATAAAAATTGATCAAAATAAAGGACTTATTAATGTATAAATACAAAATGGTTTTACATAATTATTATAAAAGAGAAGTGTAGTCAATGACATTAAATATAATCTTATCACTTTATTGTCAACAGTAAATAGTGTTCCGTGAATATAATATGCATAAAAAATCATTTGATTTAAACTTTAGGATGTGGCTGCGGCTGTGGGTGTTGTTGCTGATGTCTAAAAATGCTTCATCCAAACCCACACGCACACCCAGACTATGCAATAGTTAAATTTTTCATCTTATTTCAAACAGTAAAATTCACAAGATTTCCCACAAAATTGTTTGTATTTATTTCAATTCACTAATTGAACGCCTAAGAAAGTTATTTGTTACTACTGTTTTTCTAGTAGAAGGTGCCTGACAAATAAGTTGTGCTTAGAGAAGACTGGTGTCTGACTATCTTTTGCAAAGTAGTTTTCTTTGGAAAAGTTAGAATAAAATACAATAAAAAAAACTGTGAAGATGAGCGATGAAGTGTTTATATTCAGCTGGAAAAAAAACAGTGTTACTTAGACCACAGCTGTCATGTAAATTATATATTTTCCATTTGCCTGGTCATGTTCGATTTTGTTAGCACCGTAGATAATGAAACTGTCCAACAACACTTCTTGTTCGTGTGGATACTGCGAAAGAGAAGAAATGTCACTTCGATTTTTAGCTGCTTGATTCGTCGTTTGCATAATGAAAAGTACATTTCCAAACTGTTCAGCTACATGACGGTCTTTCGATGTAGAAATATAAGAAGGCCAAACGATCCAATGTCCAACAGCTTGATTATATTCTTCAATCATTTCATCTGTGAGCGTCATCCCACGATATAGAACTTTTTCGTCACTATCTTTATTGTACTTCAAGTGAAGGCTCAACAAATAAGAGAATGGACCTAAAGTATCAACTTTAGTTATGTCTTTGTTTCTTTGCGATAGGATGAGAAGCTTATAAAGGAAAGATTCAGCCAAGTAGAGCCGTGCAACACATGAACATAGCTCTTCTTTACTCTTCCTAGCGGCAGCTCTCAGTTGATTAGCCATTTGTTGAGCATCCCATTCTTTGTTCTGAAGTTCACCTTCTTTCAAAATACCTGTAAATATAGAAAGGAAATTTGGTATATCTTCAAGTCTATACCTCATCCAAACGTCCTACCCTTAGCGGCAAGCTCCGCAATCACTGCATAGTTTTCATTAGCTATTATTTGTTCATTTTGTTTTTCCCATCGAAACTGAAAATCGTTGTTCTTGTTCCAGCCTCCATCGAATGAATTCGTTGCTCGTACCGGATATGAGAATCTTTATTCTCTAACATACTGACTGAGATCGATTTCTCGACGTTCTATTGGCCGTTGTCTCGCTGTATCATTCTTATTAAATTGCATATTCCATTCAAAATCAACCATGTAGTTATTTAGTTCAATATTCTTCTGTTTTCGTTGAAATGCCTCTTCAATATGTTCGTTTTCAAAATCTGAATAACGCTTCCATTCTTTCTGTTCATTCTCATCCCATGAATTTGGATTTGATTGCCAGAACCAGACTATTTTTTTATTACTATTCAGTAATGAGCATGATATGGTAGATACTGTAGCTTCCGTTACTGAAATAGTAGGCTGTGAAGTTCCCATTGATGGACTGAAAGAGTATTGACAAAATATTTTTATATTAATATGATTAGCGAGGGAGTATTCCAGATACCTCATTGATTTTGATGTGGTATTTTGCTCACATCTAGACCTTAGTGAGACTAGAAAATCTCTTTACGATTTTGAGTGCATAGACCTTGGTTTTCGTGCTAGAGCCGTTTTCCTGAGATTTTGACGTAATATACAAGTTGACGTGATGCGAACATCGCCGGCTCTTTACTTGAAGGATGTGATGCTCCAAAGGTTTAGTCATTTGAGCAGTGAAATACAATAACTAATGTGTTCGTACAGAGACAGGCTAAGGACTATTAAGAAAACTTCTATTCTACTTTAAGATGCGATCCATAAAACTGTATTGGGAAAATTTATTGAGGGTGTGGGCGTGGGTGGGCATGTTTCTTTTCTCTTCATACACTCATCAATGCATACGCACATCTACACCCACACCCTTTTGAGATCTCTTCCCTCTCCCAGACTGCTTACGCAATTTTCTAAAGTATCTTTATATAAGTTTACTCACAACATAGATTGTAGATGAGTGACATCGTAGAGATTAAGGTATATAATGGAGTTGCTTCAGTGTTTACATACAATTCACTGTTGCTCAGAGTTTCAAAACTATTACTAATGTTTACAACATTTATGTATATGATGCAGCACATTCATTTGTTGTAAATATATAATATAACGAAACATAGCAGAGAGATAGATTCATAAACAGAAAACATTCAGAGAAATTTGATCATGCTCTTTTCAAAGGTAATGGATATTGAATTACATACAGTTTGATGAATTCTATCAAAGATGTCAATGAAATCACTAGGACTATTATAAGTAAATAAAATTAACTTAAAACGTCAAAAAGTTAAGATAGTCAATAGTTATAACTTGATTTGAAAATTACAACTATGGTTGAAGGTTGTAACTGCAGTTGATAGTTATAACTGGTTGATAGTTATAACTATGGTTGATAGTTGTAACCCAAGTTATAACCATTTTGACTTTTTGTCCATTTTCTCAACTTTTAACTTTTCAAAAAGCAGTTTTAATTCCAATAGTGAGTGTGAGTGCGATTATAGATGTGTGGATGTAGGTTTAGGTGTACGTTTGGGTTTTGGGTGTTGGTGTAATATGTTCTTCTGATAAACAGCGGTACTGCACCGCATTCCGAGAGCTCACATCTCCATTATCGGAATGTTTCCAGAGTCGTCTAAGTTACAAGAGTTCCAAGAGCTCAAGGGTTCTAAGAATTCTAGGAGTCTAGTGGTCTTAAAATTGATGTCAATTGGCTAATTTTTGAACTCAGGGTTCCTGAAGAGTTCTAAACTCCTGGAATCCAGACACATCTCAATAAATGATCCTTTAACTTAATGTTATAAAGATAAATGATTGGAACAAAAGTTTGCCGTTTATTTTTTAAAGATAAAGTATGCATGTAACTTTATCTTGTAAAGTAACACTAAATGACCACCCCTAATTCGTATAGAATAGGGATATCATTTGCTGGTTAATTTATAATAAATATAAATTATGAGAAATTTATATTTATTATAATTGTAGATTATTTTATTGCAGGATTTACATCTACAAATAAATATAAATTATTTTATTGCAGAATTTATATTTATAAATGAATATAAATCATAAAAATTTACATTCATTCGTAAACGTTCATTATAATAATTTACATTTATTTGTCAATATAAATCCTGCAATAAAACAATTTAGGGTGTGGGTGTGGGTGTGGGGTGTGGGTGTGGGTGTGGGTGGGTGTGGGTGTGGGTGTGGGTG